AATTTCACTTCTTTTTATTTTGTGGTTTTGGTTTCCGTTCCATCTTTACACTTGCCTGATAGCGCTTAGAGACTTTTTGTATTTTGCGCTCTATAAATTAAAAACCATTAACCATTAACCATTAGCTTAAATTACGAGCAATACTTCAATCAAGCGAGTAGGGTAAAGGTTAAAGAAAGCAAAATAAAAAGGGAATAAATAAGAATAGAAATGAAAAAGGAAAATTTAAAGAATGAAACAAATGAAATACAAGAAAGTAAATTAGAATTATTGTATTTAATCTAATATTTATTATACAACACATGTTCCTACATTTCAAAAGGTCATAGCTTAAAAACCGCTTGGAAATTGGAGCTGAGATTTTGGATTCTTTCTTTTGACATCAAAATATCAAGGTATTTTTAGAATTTTGTAAAGGAAAATCCAATAGGGGTCATGGGAAATTTTAAATTTCTGGCTGATTTGAGCCAGAATGACCCAATGGAGAAAGATACAGAAGTTGTATAAAACAAATAATGTATGTTTCTCTGTCGTACAGTGGGGTAGAATATTTCAATCGCTGAAAGATTGGATGTTATTCAACTCGTCTATGCCTCGTTGAATAGAATCTTTCACCTCATGAAATATTCTACCCCATTGCACTCATAAACATTCATTATTTTTATACTATACATCAAATCATGAACGTAATATTCTTTACTTTGATTTTCTGGTCTTCTAGAAGTAAAAGCATGTAAGATCCATACATTATGCACTAGTAACAGTACATACATTCACCATTATTATAATCTTAATAATAATAATAATAATAATAATAATAATAATAATAATAATAATAATAATAATAATAATAATAATACAAGCATACTCATTTACATATTATGCACCTGCAGTCTTTGTGAGCAAGATCAACTCCAACTTGATTAAAATTTTTATTATGATTTTTATGTGGGTACTGTAGGTGGCTGAGTGATTATGAATTTTAATATATTTGGAAAAGATTCTATAATTAATTATGAGTATATTTGTGAATGTATTAGGTGGTATAGCATGATTTCAGGCTTTTGTCTTATTGTGCTTCCTCTGCCTTTTGTTCTTTTTTTTAGAATTTGTGTCTTTGTGATTTTAATGGAAGTAAAGATTGATTGATTGATTAATTATACAAGTCATTTTGTTTTACAGAGATGAGTTACAAAGTTGCAGGCATTGTACAAAAATCATCATGTATTCTAAATCAAAATACAGAAGAGGAGATGGTAAGCCATGTCATGTTATACCAATATTCACTAGGTTGAGGGGCATAGTTCAAATTATAGCCCGAGGTGATCAGCATCTCAGGACTTAATACATACTCAAAATCACCAAGGCCTATAATTTGAACTATGACCTGATTAAAATCCCAGTAAATATTTGATTTTTTATATAGCATTACATAGATTCTCCACTCGTCTGTTGTGAAGAGGCGTAGGTCTCATTTTACACTCTTTAACTCACAGTTTGTGGCTTCAAGATCCTCTTCAAATATTTGGGCAGCATACCTACTGTAACTTGTTTTTCAATGGCGTATCTTGAAGGTGCTGATGGGGGGGGTGCAAAGGTGAAGTGTGGGCTCGATGATCAGTTGAAGGGGGCGCTAATTGCAAAATAAGATGATTTTAGGTGATTTTTAACTACTTGACTGTGATTTCTAGGCTTGGAGGGGCGTGCGCACCCCCTAGATACGCCTGCTGGCTGCTGAACTCATTAATACTAACTTATGTTCATCAACATTGCCACTGTTATTCCTAGCCTACCAGTACGCAGTGTGCAGCAGAGCGATCGTCAGCTTCCAGGTCATCAAATTAGGTCAAACTTGATTTAATTAGTAGAAACGCGCCCTCAACAATAGGCTTAGCATAATTTTCTACATTGTGACCTACCAGAAAATCATAAGAAGGCAAAACAAAAAGACTATTATCTGGCTAGGAGGCCATGGTTGGAACTATTGCCTGGCTCTTAACCAATGAAATGCCTTGAATCTATGTTGTCGGTATATAAAATCAAATACAATGAATACAATAAAAAAAAATATCCTGAGACGTCTATTTTTTCATCTTCTTAATGATGATAATGATAAAATAAAATGATAGTAGACAGATGTTTACATCTAAAGAAGACCTGTACTTTACAGTACAGGTCATCTATGCCTGCACTTAATACAGTTTTATTCAGTGCCTTTATGGCTCATAAAAAATTATAAAATTTGCCAATTTTGTAGTGCATGAGTGCCTCCATGCATCAACTAAAAGGTGTCTACAATGTAATATATAGCAAACACAACTACAAAACTGCAATGGCAAACAAAACAAGACAAACAGAAAAACAGTGCATGATGTTAAAAGTTGAAAAATAAAATAAACTGTTCTTACAAGCTCAGAGATAGGAGTGTGGAGATGCCAGGATGTATGCCTAACAAGTTGATGGTGATATGATATTGGCATGCTATAAATGCTTCATATTACTGATATTTTTTTTTCAGGTGTGCATTGGTTATCATCCAAACAAAACAAAGCAGTTCCTGACTGTATTATTCAGTGTGCTAACGCTAGGGATCTTACAACTTGTGTTTTATTGGAAGAAGGATTGGCACATCTACTGTACATGCTCTCAAACTTCTCTTCGACAAGCTACAATTTTACTGCTTCAGGTACCTTTTTTTGTACAAATATTGCCAGTTTCTTCTCAAATGTTTATAATATATATCATGGTATCTATATTCATAAAAAAAGAAACAAAAAATCACAACAAAATTTACTAGCAGTTTAAAAGATGTTTACAGCTTGGGTGGTGCCAGCTGGGGTGAGGATTGGATATTAGTAGACCCCAAAACCGATTAAGTGAGCCTTTGAAACCACTAAATTTCATGTACTGTATTTCTGGAACACTTAGAGAGATTCTGAGTGACTCCAACCATGCCCACTTTTTTTCCGTCAGGAATATCGCGCCACCCAAACCCCCCCCCCCCCCCCCCCCCCCCCCCCCCCCCCCCCCCCCCCCCCCCACACCCACACCCAAAAAAAACAAAAAAAAAAAAAAATAAATTTATATATTTTGATTTTTTTACTTTTATAATCCAAACAAAACAAAGCAGTTCCTGACTGTATTATTCAGTGTGCTAACGCTAGGGATCTTACAACTTGTGTTTTATTGGAAGAAGGATTGGCACATCTACTGTACATGCTCTCAAACTTCTCTTCGACAAGCTACAATTTTACTGCTTCAGGTACCTTTTTTTGTACAAATATTGCCAGTTTCTTCTCAAATGTTTATAATATATATCATGGTATCTATATTCATAAAAAAAGAAACAAAAAATAAAAAATCACAACAAAATTTACTAGCAGTTTACAAAATGTTTACAGCACCACTAAATTTCATACACTTAGAGAGATTCTGAGTGACGCCGACCATGCCCACTTTTTTTCTGTCAGGGATATCGCGCCACCCAACCCCCCCCCCCCCCCGGGCAAATCCTGGCGTCACCACTTGTTTACAGTATTTGAAAGGTACAAAAATGTACATAGAAACCACAAAAATATATGTTTCTTGAGTTTTGTGAAACTGTTTGAACATATTTCTAACATAAATTTGTATTAATATTATACAGGATAACTTTGGAGAAAAGTTTATAGAAAAAGTAAAATTTGTTACACTCTCTGATGGCTTTGATGCATTCATACAAACACCAAGGTAAAGTCTGTTCGTTATTTTGTTCACATTCATTTTGATATATATAGTGAGGCTATGCCTTTACCATGCAGTGTTAACAAAGTGATTCTAGTTTCATTTTATATTCTGGAGGGTTTTATGTGCTGAATGCTATACGTAGTGATATGGTGATTTTGTGCTTTTACTGTGCGGTGTAAATTGAGTAATTCTAGTATCATGTTTGTATTCTAGAGTGCAACATGATTTTGGTGTCGGTCCAGCCGGTGATGTTGATTCGTTGATATCTGAAGAGGAGTTAGATTTTAGCGAATGTCAAATACTAATACAGCCACTGGAAGAAGAGGAGGTAATGATAGCAGTGTATGATACAGGCCAGAGTTATTGCTTGTAATGGGAGTGGTTAATAAGAGCTGGTTAGATTAGGAGCTTGAAATAGAATAAAATATATAATATATTTATAATAAAGCATAAATAAATAACTTATAAAGAATTTGCATTTTTTTTAAACATTTTCCTTTACAGAATTCCTCAAATCTGAGATATTTTGAGCATCATAAAATTAAGTATATATGGAACACGGAGCGTAAGACGTTTGAGCAGTTGACTTCATATGATGTTGCCACTCCTTGCTCAACATTTTACACAGACTTAAATGGTCTCGCCGAAAATGAACAAAGCAATAAGTAAGTTATATTCCCTTTAATGCTACTGTTTTTGCTCTCTCAGGTATCACAGTGCCTTTGGAAATAACCTTTATTCTCTTGTGTTGTTTTTATTTCAGACAGCTAATATATGGCAATAATGACATTAATGTTGAAGTTAAAAGTTATAAGAAGTTATTTATAGAAGAGGTAAGGATTTTAATACAAGACTATCATCTGCCCTACTAACTGACCTATTGCAACAACTTAGTATAATCTCTTGGTTATTTATTAAAGTAGTTAACATTCACCCCATCTGTAAGTGGTGAATTTCATTTGCTGTTGGTATTAAAAGTGCATGTAAAAATGAATGAAATAATAAAGGAAGAAATGAATGAATGAATGAATAATAAGATTCATTATTGAGGCACATTATCAAATATAATAACTGTCTAAAAAAGTGTATCGATCAGAGTAAATGCACAGGAGTAAATAAAAAAGATAATTGTCATATCTTTTGTAGTATACATTAACTAATACTTAATGATTTCTTTCAGATATTGAATCCTTTTTATGCATTCCAAATATTCAGTGTTGTACTGTGGTTTATTGAGGTTTACTACTTCTATGCCGTCTGTATAGTTGTCATCTCAGCTGTATCCCTCACCATCTCCTTACACGAAACTCATAAGGTATGTGTTAATAATACATACGGTTCGGTGGTTGAGGTGCTTGTCCCAGAATTCACAAGATCTCAGGTTCAAATCTACTGCAAATGATAATAGTAATAGTCATAGCAATAGCAATGTTAATACTATTGTAATAGTGAATGTAATAGTAATAGCAATTTTAATAGTACAGGTAATAACAATAGCAATTTTAATAGTAGAAGCAATAGCAATCAGTAATAATAGTGTTTTCATATTGCATGTAAATTCCAGTTATCTGTAATTTGTTTCCTGATTTTCAGCAAGCAGTAACACTGAGGGATATGGTCGCACACAGTAGCAAGGTCACAGTTCAAAGACGAGATGGAAGTAAGAAGCTATGAATATAACATGCCTATATGACCAATATTAATAAAAATTCAATGCCCATCTCTCTTTCCTTTTGATGCTTTTGGCGATGGACACTCCAGCCTGTGAGCGCAGAGCTTCAGGATTCGACCTTTACCTTAAAATTTACAGGAAATTGCTATTTGCCAATCATGTTTCTTTTTCAGTATTCATTCAATCGCCAATGAAAACTGATATATCTCCTGTTATTTTTCAGCTGTATCTGAGATTGATAGCAAAAGACTATTTATCCAATCATTAATGATTGGATAAATAGCAAAAGACTATTTATCCAATCATTTAATGATAGCTGTGCTATATCAGCCAATCATAATGTTTCTTTTCATTATTATCCAATCACTGAAGACTGAGCTATCACATGTTGTGTTTCAGCTGTATGTGAGATTGATAGAAATAGATTAACTAGCTAATATTTTCATCAATAGTTGTACTATCAGCTAATCATAATGTTTCTTTTCAATTTTCATCCAATCACTGAAGACTGATCTATCACAAATTATATTTCAGCTGTGTGTGAGATTGATAGCAGTGAACTTGTTCCTGGTGATCTGTTGTTAGTTCCTCCAAATGGATGTATGATGAGCTGTGATGCTGTTCTTATCGCTGGTAACTGCATTGTCAATGAAAGCATGCTTACAGGTATGCTATCCCAAACTTAACTTATTTACTATTTAACCAATCATATAATCATAGTTGTGCTATCAGCCAATCATAATGTTTCTTTTCAATATTCATCCATTCACTGACACACATGTTGTGTTTCAGCTGTAAAGTTGTAAAGGCCTAGGGAGCTATAATTCCTTCAACAATAACCTATAAATATTGATTTATTTTGAGTTTTCCTTGGTTGCTATAACTGTAACAGGTGTGTTTGAATCCAAATAAGGTAATAAAGATGTGGTATTATTGCAGGTGAGAGTGTACCTGTCACCAAAACACCTTTACCCAACCCACCTGACACCAATAGAGATGTACACTACTCAACCGATCTACACAAACGTCACACTTTGTTCTGTGGTACACAGGTGATCCAGACTAGGTACTATGGCAGTGAGAAGGTCAAGGCTGTTGTGCTGAGAACAGGTAACTTTTGGTAGTGGAGGTGGTGGCAATGACAGTGGTGGTGTTTGTATATGATGAAGATGGAGGTGGTGGTAGAGTTGATAATGCTGCTACCAATGCTAATTATGATAATAATAATAATGCCATATTTACTCAGGTCGCCTAAGGAACATATGCTTAGCACCCTGGGAAGTATACCATAATGATGTAGATTACTTTTTAATTGTGTATCTATTTTTATCCTCCATTGGCCTTGACCTGAATTTTGTGTATATTTCTTTATTTTAGATTTTTTTTAAATGTTTAAATATATATAAATTTGAATTTTTTTTTTGCAGGTTTCAGCAGCGCTAAAGGTCAACTAATTCGCTCAATTCTCTTCCCTAAGCCGATTGGTTTCAAGTTTTACAAGGACGCATTGAAATTCATTGGTGCCCTCTTTGCTCTATCGCTTATTGGAATTATCTATACGATAATTGTTCTCATTAGGGATGATGTAAGTTTGTTTAAATCTTTTCCTAAAATACAGTACTCTACTTGTTAAATTAAATGCTTAATTAATTAACATAGTTTATGTGTAGTGCTTTTCTATGAGATCAAAATCCTAGTAAACCTAGTTTACATGTTTTTTTTCCCATTAAATAAAGTATATACAAGTATGTTTACAAAACAAAGAGGATCTCTAAGCCTCCTCAAATGGTGCTGCCTCTGCTTTTAGACATTTAAATTTTTTTCTATGATTCTTTCGTAGGCTCATGTGTTTGATATTATCGTCAAGGCACTGGACATCATCACCATAGCTGTTCCCCCAGCCCTTCCTGCAGCAATGACCGTGGGTACAGTCTATGCTCAGAATAGGTTGAAGGCTGCGGGCATCTTCTGTATCAGCCCCCAGCGTATCAATGTCTGTGGAAAACTCAAGTTATTCTGTTTTGACAAAGTATGTTGATTAAGAATATTTTGAAATATTTGTAATAATAATCATTGATTTACAAGTGATAAAATATAAATAAATGTTACAGAGTCTTGCGAAGGTATTCCCACTAAAATCACCATCGTCTTGACACAAGCAAATTCAAAATGAGAGTTTCAAGCCTTGGTGATAAGATTTGAACTCTGACCTGAACATTTCAGATCTCAGCATTATAACTCGGAATATGTTTATTTTTTTTATACTTGACTCGTTTTATATGACTTGTTTGAATATATTAATTTTTATTTTTGTGTATTTACTCTTCTTTTTAGACTGGAACACTCACAGAAGATGGTCTGGACATGCTAGGTGTGGCACCAATCCAAGATGATCACTTCCTGCCATTAATTCAGGATGTTGATGAACTGCCTCGTGGCCCCTTCCTTGTCTGCATGGCAACATGTCATTCTCTGACCATCATTGATGGTAACATCACAGGAGATCCTTTAGATCTGAAGATGTTTGAAGCAACAAAATGGGTGAGTGAGCAAGAGCGATTGATTTATTGGTCGGTTGGTTGGTTGATTGTTTCATTGAATGTTTGATTGATTGATTATTTTTAAATTTTTTTTAACTAGATGTTGGAAGAAAAAGTCAAGGACACATCTAAGTTTGCAAATATGATGCCAACAGTAGTGAAACCAACTACAGCTGACACTTACAGGAATGTAGATCCAGACCAGGTTAGGCACAGTCTCATCATTAGATCTAGTTTTCAAAGTTACAATCACAATTTCATGATGGCTCAACGTAAGATTCAGGATAAAGATATTCAAAACTGTCTTCTTTATACTTTGATCCTTCTCTTCAATAACAGCTGGTGATGATGTTAATGTGTGATCCTGTATTGATAACTCAATATCCAAAAAACAATAGAATTGTAATTTTTATGTTTTTTTTTTAAAGGAATTTAGATCAGTTTTTTCTCATTTTATTTCTAATTATTATTTCAGATACCATATGAGATTGGTATAGTTCGTCAGTTTCCTTTCTCCTCATCACTGCAACGAATGAGCGTGATCACACGGACGCTTGGTGCAGAAAACATGGACGTGTATATGAAGGGAGCGCCAGAAATGGTTGTATCTTTGTGCAATAAAAAAACAGGTCAGAACAATCAAAATATGTTTGCTTTCTTTTAATATGTTTTAATAGTTTTTATTTTTATATTTTTTCCTAGAGAGGGTATTATTTTTTTAACATTCTCCAAATCATTTAGTATTTATTCGTTCATTCACAGTTCCACCAACATTTCATGATGAATTGCATGTATACACACAGAAGGGCTTACGTGTGATTGCTCTTGCGTGGCGACCTCTTGACCCCAAAGTTTCATGGCACCATGCTCATAAAATACCAAGGTAAATTGTTTTGTATTTCATTATTTGTTACCATGTTTACACTCATTTCATGTTTTGTACACAAAAAATTACCCACAAATCAAATCAATGTTTATTTTGTAATCATACATATGGGACTGAAGTTGTGCCTACGTGGTTAAGATGTTTTTTGCTGCCCAGTATGTGTGATCTGTGATCAGTTGTTTGATTACATACTGCTTAGGGAATGTGTTCATGTTATTCTTCCAGGCATGATTTACCAAATGGCTTGGGTTACAAAGTAAAATATCATACAGATTGTTTGTGGTCAGACTGACACATTACAGTCAGTCTGAACAGGACGCTAGTTTATGTAGTTTCATTTTGTAATTGCTACTGGGTGTGAAGCATATTTACCTGGGGAAGAGTTTGCCTTGTGCCAGCTAGGTGTAGATACTATAGGTTGTTTTTTTTTTTTTTTAGGTTGTGAAGTAGTCCATGCTATGTTTTAGCCTTAGTTGCAAGCAGGTTTTGCACATGGCCTTGATCAGATATTTGGCTTTGCAGCCCTTGCCATTTTATGACTTACATTTCCTAGGCCTACTGATTCTACAAAACATGCTGAAGCCAGAAACAATGCCAATCATCCACATGCTCAGAGAGGCTGATATTAGAACAGTGATGGTGACAGGTAGGGCCTAGCAAACAGCAAATAAAATAATCATAATATTCCTTTATTAAATTTTTCTGATTCAGAATCAATTTTTATATATTTTTATGTAGATTGTATATATTTTTCGTTAGGAGACAATATTCTTACTGCTATAAGTGTTGCCAGAGAGTGTGGCATGATTGATCCCAATTCAAATGTCATTAATGTAAGTGCTACTGCCCCCTCTGATGCTGGACCAGCATGTATTGAATGGACTGAAGATACACCATCAGCAGAGGGACACAGGACAAACAGCACAATTAACACACAAACTGTGAGTTATTTTGTTTTTGTTGAATGTTTATTAAATGAGTTGGTTAACATTTAAGTTAAGTTATTTGTATTATTTGATTTTATATCTACTTTTGTTTTTAACCGAACCACTTTGGAAATCAGTACATTTGTATTGAAAGTGCATTCCAAGATACACAAAGACTAAATAAATAAATAAAACTTTATATTTTTGCCATCATTTCATTTAATTATTCTTTAATTTTTTTGTCAACAGCAAAATAATGAGGACATCCAAAGACGAGAGAAGTATCATTTTGCCGTCAATGGGAAATCATTTGCTGTAATTAGGAACCATTTTCCAGAACTAATGAGAAAGGTAGGTATATTTTCATTACTGATCACCAGGGGCGTACGGTACGCCCCTGGTCACTGTTTTGAAGGCAAAAGATATCTACATCTTTAAAACTTCTTTATATTATTTAATTTTTTTAAATATGAAGATTGTTCAGAGAGGAACTGTTTTTGCGAGAATGTTGCCAGATCAAAAGAGTCAGCTAGTTGAGGAACTGCAAGCATTAGGGTGAGCAGACAGTACATTGATGTAACTAATATAATGCACTGATTATGTTAAAATAATATTGTTTATTTTCACATAGAGAGAGAATAATGGCTGCTGATTTTCTTTGTGTATATCTATATTCAAAGCATAGTATATATTCTATCTTATAGACAGTTTATATTATTTAGTATTCTATCTTATAGACAGTTTATATTCAAAACATAGTATATATTCTATCTTATAGACAGTTTATATTATTTAGTATTCTATCTTATAGACAGTTTATATTCAAAACATAGTATAGTAATGAAATGAATGTGAAATTTTTATACAGATGTTAAAAAAGGACTAAAGAAAATTTTACATATGTCAGGAAATTATTAATTGGTTTATAATAAACACATGATGAATCCTTTTTTTTTGTTTAATCCATGTAGATATGGTGTTGGAATGTGCGGTGATGGAGCTAATGACTGCGGCGCCCTCAAAACTGCACACGCTGGCATCTCATTGTCAGAAGCTGAAGCATCAGTAGCCTCTCCTTTCACCTCACAAATTACAAATATAACATGCGTACCAAAACTAATCAGGTTAATATCTTCTTACAGTTTTAAAAGTTGTTCTGTCTAAGTTTTCCTAAGGTAATAATATCAATACCAATACCTATAATTTTATTGCCATCATCTTAACAATCATGATACAATCAAACACAGACAAATTACAAGAACTGAAAATTATGAGTATATGTCGGACGTAAAAAAACGTGTGACATAGATAAGACATGTTTGTTCCCTCAAGTTTATGCTAATAATGATATGTGTATTTTTTTACAGAGAAGGTAGAGCAGCTCTTGTAACATCATTTGGAGTCTTCAAGTACATGGCCCTCTATAGTTTAATACAGTTCATCTCTGTAACCATACTCTATTGGGTAAAGCAATTGTTATTTGTATTATTTTCTTTTAAAAAAGAGCCCCTCAACAATTAGAAAAAGGATCTTAAATTTATCACAAACCTAACAGAATTTTACTTTGTTTCTTTTTCAAGATCAACTCTAACCTCAGTGATAAGCAATTTCTCTATGTGGATCTAGTAATTACAACAACGGTTGCAATTTTGAGTAAGTATTAACATAATTAAAGCTTCAAGATAATTTTATTGTCTGAAAAACTCAGAAATTACATTCCACTGGCAGTGTTACAAGTATTACATGAAGATAATTAAGGATATACAAATATAAAACTAAGAGCACCAAACAATAACTATTCATAAGATAAAAAGTACATATAAAGAACAGAAAATTAAACATCATTAAACAATATTACACATTAAACATAATTAAGTTAGGCCAAAAATTGCACTTAAACAACAATTATCTATTAACATTATTATGAAGGTGAATGGAGTTGGGAACGAAGGAGTTTCTGTAACAGCAATGTGTGGTGAGTGTTACATTTAGACAGAAACCAGAGTTGCTAAGAGTGAAAATTACAGTATGAAAAATAACATTATGGGACACTGATGCTTCATTATCCATGCCCTATTCACACAGGACATAGGGTTGTTTGGGATCATGATCTAGGTCACAATCAGAGTGGACTAGTGTGAATAGAGCCAACACTTTAGGAAACATCACTGATCCCAAATATGAAATTATGTGATATTCAAATATTAATTATGCTGTATGTGATCTATCTTTTCAGTGGGATACAATGGTCCATATCCTGGACTAGTTAAAAAGCGCCCTCCAGGTAGTCTTGTGTCACCATTCATTCTCATCTCGCTATTTGTTCAGATTATGATTCAGATCGCTGGTCAGACAACAGCGTACATGTTACTGTTTACCCAAAGCTGGTGAGTGTAACATTTTTTTGTGATAAATGGCCGACAGATATTTGGAAAATGACGTGGTGTGGACTGCACACAGTAGTACCGCACTGTAATAATAATGCTTTTCACCCTTTTTAATAGCTTATATTTTGCTTTCGGTTTTATTTCTTTGAATTAATATTTGTACCGGTCTTTATGTATTTTTTTTTTATAGGTTTACTCCTTTAGAACCCAGTGAAGATGTTAATGCGAACTTAATGTGTGCTGAAAACACTGTTGTCTTCTTAACATCTTCCTACCAGTACTTCTTTCTAGCAGCGGCTTTCTCCAAGGGACCTCCATATAGAACTCCTATACACAGTAATAGTAAGTCATCTCCATCATTATGTATCGTTCAGTATTAAGAATTTATCCAAGTATTTGGATTATTTGTACTTTGGTCATTATTTGGGTAAGGATAAGAGTAGATGGGAACCACTTACAGGAGGGGTTCCTCAAGGAACAATTCTTGCACCCATCATTTTCCTATGCGTCATTGTTAGTGCTCTTCTAGAAGAGGAATTTTTGAACACTGGTATCCAGGTCTGGAAGTATGTTACCGATATGGCGAAAATGAAGTTTAAAATAACCCAAGTGTCATTCAAAACATCTTGGATATGCTTCATCAGTGGTCAGAAACAAACAGTCTAAACCTAAATCCAACCAAGTGTCAGATAATGAGAGTATACTTTGGTCACAAAACACTTCCAGACCTGGATATCCGCCTATCTAACAACAAATTACCTGTTGTTAATGAGGTAAAACCACTAGGTGTCATATTCCAGTCTAACTTGTAATGGGAATGTCATGTGAACCTGATGATTGAGAAAGCTAATAAAAAGTTGTACATGTTACGCAAACTTAAACAAGCAGAGGGTGTACACCCTTTGCTTAACAATGGGCTCAGAGCTTCAAAAGAGCTTTCTTTGTTTTTGTACAGTAGGTATCTTTGATCATTAAACAAGCAGGTCTCAATAAATCGGAAGTAATGACTGTGTATAAGGGGTATATTAGACCAGCCTTAGAGTATGCTGTTGTTGTTTGGAATGGAGGGCTCACTGGATTTTTTAAATTTTTTTTTTATTTAATTCGTGTTTTTTTTTTTTACTTAATTCGTGTTTTTACATAATTTGTGAGTTTTTTTTTGTTGATGTTCTGTGTTGTTTTTCTTGAGATTTTAATGTTTTATGTGTACTGGGCCCTCTGGGAGAACAGTAATTTCTTACTGAAGAGGTAACCCAGTATAAAGAATAAATAAATAAATAAATAAAATAAAATTGCAGGTTGGTCGCCTTAAGGAAATACAGAATAGAGTGTGCTACACCTTGCTGGGCAAGTAATACATAACCTATGAAGATGCCCTTGTTGCTCTCGGGCTGGAGCGTCTCAGCGACCGTCGGGCCAACTTATGCCTTAACTTTGCTAAAAAAGCCACCCTAAGTAAAAGATTCTTGCATTGCTTCCCCCAATGCAATACAACTCACACTATGGAACTCAGAAATGTGAGGAGATATGGAAATTTTGGCCTTTGCCATATCTCACTGCTCTTTTAAATTCTTAAAGATAAAAGTGATTAATTAAAAACATAAACTTTAAATTTCTTTTCTTTTTGATGATGAGGGGTGGGGGTCGCTGGGTATGCTCCGGTCAGGGAGTGTAGGTTATTTTTAAGGTTTGCTTCAACTACCATGCCAAAAACCCTTAAAATTGTAGGGTCCCTCAAGGCGGACCACTCCTCTGAGATCCCACCATTCCAACAATTTACATTTAAATGACTTTAACCAATTGTTTTTTTTTTAATGTTTTGCTTTGTTTTTTTATTCGTCTTGTGTGAAGTTTGATGTTTTTCTAGCTTTAAGTAATTTTGTAATTTTTAATAATGTTTTTTTAAATTGTAAATAAAATCCTCAATTCAGCCTTAGGCTGCTATGTTTTTTTGTTTTTTTTTGTTAATTAATTATATTATTGTTTTAATAATATTGTTTTTTTAAATTTTTTTTTTAGTTTTCTTCCTGGTATCATTAATTGCAATGTTTGGTTTCACAACGTTTATGCTGTTTTGGTGGAAGGACACCAAGCTGCTTTCCAAATTCTTTCAGCTTGACCAACTTGCTCCTCAACACTTTAAATTCTGTTTACTGATATTCGCTGTGGTGATAGTTAATGCCGTTGCAACATTCACTGTTGAGGTAAAAAAATGCATCCATTCAGTTAAATTTGCATAATCAATGAGCACATGAGAATTTAATAGTAAAACACAATGTAAACAAAAAAAGATCAGATTTAACTAGAAGGTGGTGTGTGCTTGGATAGTGAAAGCACATGCTATCCAATTCCAAGGTTGTTGGTCCAATCCCTGGAATATTAGGAATTTTCTCATAACCAAAACAACAAATTTAATCTTTTTCTTCCCTATATTTTTATGTTATTTTGTATTTTTTATTGTATTGTTGTTGGCCAGGTGTTACTTCCATGTACAGATGATTGAAGTGTCCCTTGGCGGTTAAGACAGTTGCTGGTCTTGGTTTCAAACCAGGATTCTTTATATTAGTAGTTCCCAACTTTTTTGCATTTTCGGACCTCAGCCCTACCATGGTTGGGGCTGAGGTCAGCAGTAGTGCCAGAAATTTGCAGACAGAGGGTCTGACGTGTCCGACCAGGGCGACGACGAATAAAAAAAATCCTTGTTAGGGTTCATGGGCAGAGTTTTTATGGCTTAATTTGGTCCTAAATGTGCTTTTAGACCACAATATTAGGGATTGCCAATCAAAATAGCGTTATTTGGATAAGCAAAATATTATTTTTTTAAATTTTTGTTCTGACGACCTAGTCGTTCTTTTCGGATGGCAGGAGGGTCCAGGCCTGTTCGATGGATGGGAAAACACCCATTCTGCCCCCCCTCCCCTGCTGGCGCCACCACTGGCTGAGTTGTTTAATGTTTATGTCTATGGCACTTTTTAATTTTTTTAGGGGCGTGCGCTAGTCGTTTGTTAAACATATTTGTAATCTTTAAATATATATATTAAGATTACGAATATGTTTAAAAAACGACTAGCATTACATTCATGCGAGTGTATGGTCGCATCATATATCACAATCAAAAGGATAGGGAATAAAGAATGTTTAAATTTTCAGTTTCATAGAGATAATCTGGGACATGTTGCTCCCTGGAGAACAAATTTTATAGAAAATGTAAGCATGTTTAAATTATCATGAAAATCAAAATCAGGCTTCCGATATTTAAAGAAATTGTTTTGCTAATTTTTTTTAAGACTCAAAAGAGTGCTTGATGAAAAACTCGGGAACGGTTAATGAGATACAGATTTTTAAATAGTAACTGAGGAAAAGGGGTGATAACACTTTTGTGATATCTTGAGAAAAGTATGAATAACTAACCAAACGATAACAGAAGGTGCAATTATTTAGTTAGTAGATTAATTTAAAACGTTTTTTTTTTTTTTTTTATAAATTTCAAAACTTAGAGCAGGAGACCTATATTATATCGTTCATAACGAGCAATTTAATTATGTACTGTAATGCAGTATTGTAGGAATATTGAATAATGACACAGGGAGACTCAAGCTTAATGCTCATTCCGGTATGAGTTTTCTGAGACCACGTCTTTATCAGATGCAGTGACGTATTTAAAGAAGGGATGGATCCAGAGATGTCCAAAAAGAGGGAGGGGCCGAAACATGATTAAATGTTGTAAATTTATTTAAAATCATATATTTTTTGAAGAATCATTGAGATCGAGAAAAATATAACACAGTCTATTGTGACTAAAGTATTGTAATACAATGATAAATGATACTACGGTAGGCCTAGTCGGACCATTTTAACATTTGTGAGGGAAGGGGTCTATTGTGTTCAGATATATAGTAAAGTAGTATAGTACATGTATTTAATTGTTATTACCAAAAGGTTCCATACAACATGTATTGTATTATTTAGGCTTTGTGTTGAAATGCTGAATAATAAATTTAAACGTTTAGCTCTTTGTTGCCTTTTTTCATGCAATATATGGATGTGTGCGGCGGAGTGAAATGCATGCGAATTCAATCCAGGTTGAACTCCGGTGTACTTCTATTCTGATTAGTTAATAGCACACTGGACATGAAGTCAAAGATACTAGAAACACAAGATAGAGTTCTCCACACAAAAAAAGTGTTCCACCGAAATGCATGGTGGGAATACAAACAATGGGATGCCCCTTACGGCTGGATCTAAAAAAAACTTCAACCAAACTTTCGTTACCACGTCGTGTGTTTTATTGTCAATTCTCAATTCAAAAATTGTACACAATTGTACAATTAGTACAATGGTACCCAGACAGTGTCAACGGTGAATACATAATTACTTGGCGGAGGTAGAAATCGTTGCTATTATCCAAATAAAACTCACAATGAAGCCTATGGAATGGCCGGACGCACTCTAATGATAAAGTTTTCCTCCATTAGTGGAAAAAGAAGGGCGCCGTGTGTGTCTGGATATACTTAGCAACAGAAGGGCGCCCTGTACGTTGGGCACGAAGTATTGAAAACTTGCATAGTTAAAAAGGAGGCGCCGCCTACGTCGAGCACGATTTCCGCCTCATTTTTACTATGCGAGTGCTCTATCTTGTGTGTTTCTAGTATCTTTGATGAAGTGCTTTGAAGACCAGTTTTATTGACAATAAACTAGCTTTTGTGCACACAGTGGACTTCTTCAGGTGAATGTGAAGCTAAACCGAGTGGGTTAGAAGCCATGTTAATATGTTGTACAACTGATGTTTCCAAGACGCAAAAAAGCATACGAAAAACGGATGATTTACAGATTTTTTTTTATGATATTGAAAAACTGGGTGCTGGTTTCGCCCTTTCTTCCCCCACCTCCCAGTTTTTAAACTGGAAAAAATCGGTATCTCAGACCGTTTCAGACTTTTTTCGTCAAATATGCTTTTTTGTGTCTTAGAAAAATTTATTTAAAAAAATGTTTTTCTCTTGTTTTTCTTTAAGAGCGGGTCATACCGCGGTAGTTACATAGGCCTATTACGTCATTCGCTGACTTGATTATCAGACCTATCGTCTAAATTTAACGGTACGTCACAATTTATTTGCATAACGAGGCGTATACACATGCACGTTCGGTTGTGAACGCATTTCTCAAATGCACAGCACGGCATCGTACTTCACTCAGGCAGTGCCTTCACAATCGGTTTAATTAATTTGGACCTGGTTTTAACTTACACAAAGGCGTAATAAGGGAATAAATCTCAGAATGGGACTAGAACAAAAAGTCCAGGTAAGTAGCTTGAGCTTACCGCAATGCATGGATTGTTAAGCTTTTTGGTCAGAAGGGAATATTAATGCGTTTTTCGTAGGCCTATACTTGATTGAAAGGACTATACCTTGGATGAAAGCCAATGGGCTTAATCTCGAGAAGAAGCCCATCTCAAGAAGAACCCCCCACACCACCCCCTTCTTTAGTTTCCAAAGTAATCTCGAAAATAGGAAGCCCATCTCGAAAAGATGCCAATGGCCTTCTAATCAGATACCGTAGTATGGGCTGGGCTTTTCGATATAGTACTCTTTTCGATATAGTACTTTAACTCGTAGAAATCGTACGACTCTTAACCCCTCTCCCACCTAGGTTTATTTTACCTAAGAGTCGTACGATTTCTACGAGTTAAAACTCGTGATCTTTGGAAAGGACCTATACGAGCTTATTACGTGTTAGCTACGAGTGAGGTACGACTTTATGGAGTTGGTTACGAGTTATGTACGAATTATGCCGAGCAGAGCACCGAGTTAACTACGAGATTATTAAGAGCGTAACAAGTTTGTACCGAATTAGATACGAGTTAGGTACGAGCCAACTCGGTGCGCTCGTACTTACTCCGTACTGGGTTTTGGGTGCTTGCATCAAACTCGTAGATGACAAAACCGCCGACGAGTATCCAGAGTAGTGTACGAGCTAGGTAGGAGTACCCCGAGTACTCTACGAGCTACCTACGAGTTTACTACGAGTTATCTACTCGTGGCGATAATTTTGAACATGTTCAAAATTAGCGCCACGAGGTCAGAGCTGCTACGAGTAGGTATAAGAGTCCTCTCCGAGCTTTCCGAATCGTCCTACGAGTTTTTGCCGAGTTAGCAACTCGGCATTCTCTTGTAACTCGTATGCTGAAAAAACCCCTAGTGGGAGAGGGGCGATGCTGAAAAAAACC